AAATTTTAAATTTAAGGATATTCAAGGACTTTCAAGGACCGCGGGAACCCTGTTACTGTATTGGAGTCGTTAGCTAGTACGAGTGACAACGCGCACTGGGCTAATAAGATGTACCTTGTAGATTAAAATCGGGCAATTGACATCATAGTCTGGTAATCCAAATATGGTAATCCCATGCTTTAGACAAGTGAACACCCGTCATCTGCCCCTCCTCCTTGGTGCCCTTATTAGACCATTGTGTTTTTAAATGCAGTGTGAACACTGTGTTAAATCCAGGGTAGAATCTGGGAAGTCTATAACTCACGCACTTATCCCCTCTATAAGAAAGAGTGGGGATTAAGTTTCTTTAAGTTTTTTTCGGTGGAAGCGGACGTAAAATACAACTAACACACACAAGTTTCCTTAGACATCATTCAGACATCATAGGGAAGATATCATTGGCTTAGAGGCCGGGATACCGACATCATGCGGGATTCTTAGAAGAACGCATACCCATAGCCTCCGCAGCTTAAAGGCCGGGATAAAGACAATAGGTAGTGTTTCAGCCGTTAGGTCTGAGTTCTAGGCTTGTTAAACTCAGACTGTAGATAACTCCTAATGTACTATATAGATGTTGTAGTTTCCTGTATATAACCTTTGTATTATGGCTGTTATAAAGATATGTAAAAATAGTTATAGAATGAAACAGTCTTTCAGAGTTATTGATCCTTGAAGTTTTATACACAGCGTGAAAGTCCAGTTCGTTTCCTGGAGATCCTTATAGCTTTTCAAGTTACCGAACATCGTGGAACATCAATAGGATTCTCTGTCTCAAGACATAGCTGAAACAATGTGTATAAATTTAAACTCAAACGGATGACAGCTTTGGTATCCTGAGCGTCCACAAAAAGTTTCAAAGTGATCAAGGACTATAACACTTATTGAGAATTGTTGAAAATCAAAAGGCTTCTTTGTCTCATGGCCTTGAACGCTGTGTATAAATTTAAAGTCACGTGGGTTCCTAGAGCATTGTTTCACGAAAACTCATTCTAAATTTCACTTTCTGATATTATTTTGAACATCCTTCAAATATAGTCTCTTATAGCAAAGTGCTTACAGACAGCTTTTCGAGGACTAAAAATAGAACTCCTGACTAAAGCATTTTCTTTGTCATACTCCAGTTTCAATTCACTAACCAGAAGGTCCCAATGTTGGCTGAGAAATTACCTCGAGGGTTGGGGTGGGCTGAACACAGAGAGAGAGAGAGAGAGAAATGGGGTTTAACGTCCACTTGACACAAACTAGGTCATTTCGGGACTAACATATTTTAATTTTATTTACATAATTCGCTTGCGCGTAGGGGTCTTTAGCAGTGGGAGGAAACCGGAGGACCCGGAGAAAACCCACGAGGTTGGACAGGCGACCCTACTCCTGGTCACGTACAACCGGGGATTCGAAACCACGCCAGTCGACTCAATGACAGACTTTATGATACAGCGCGCGCACGCTAACCATTCAGCCATCCAACCCCCCTGGGCTGAACAGGAACAGTGCTTAGTGTCGTAATGGAACTATTGGCAGTTATAACATGGTCGCACTAGGCGTCCATAAATATCGGGATAATTAAGGTAATTAAGGGATCATTGTTACTTATTGACTATTAAGTGGATGGAGGTATTTCTTTTAAAAATTAAATGGTTTTCCATTATATTTATTTTTGTTATTGTAATATGTCAATAGAAGGCTACCGTACAATTTTTCCGTCAACTTTCCAGTAATTTACCGTCTTCATTAGCCCAGTCGAAACCATCTTCGGTATCCCCAGTGGTTTCATTTCATTCTACTCCACTAACCCCTGGGTTAATCTATAGGGGAGACACGTTTTCAAGTTATCCGCCCTTGATGGTTGTGCTATTTTTATCGACCAATACCATAAATCGTTAATTGGAAAGGAAGTTGGCAAAGGGAATTAACTCTCAACGGACAAGGCTAGGAGTTAGCTTAAATGCGAGAAGTCCAATTTATGCGTATTTATCAACAAATGAAATGAAATGAAATGGGGTTTAACGTCCTACTGTTTTGCTCCTATACTAGGCTAATGAAGACGGGCATACGCCATACAGTGTGCTATGAGGGAAATAATGCCCGGGCAGCGGCACTATCGCCTACTCTTATATCGAATTCCAACTGCCAAGGGATCTTTTACGTGCATTCCAATGTATACACGGGACCTTGTCAGGGTATTTATCAACAACAAAGTATATAATATTATATCAATGAAGACCGTGCGTTTATGTAGGTTCAAGAGTTTTATTGATATTTGTTCGTTCGTTTGTTCGTTCGTTCGTTCGCGGAGTTTTACGTCCACCTGATATCGTAGACAAGTTATAGTGAATCAAATTGCCAAGAATAAGTTTAATAATAATAAACAAAACAGAATGAATTACAAATATATACATTACTTACATAAATCATTCAGTAAATGGACATGAATATGGTTATCTACCCTTATAAAAACGAAGGCGAAACGACAGGTTTGTAAACTGTTTTTTGATAGGTTCGTAGACTGTAGCTACATTCTAGGCCAGGGCAGATAATTTGAAATCGTGGAAACCCTATGGATTAATCCAGGGTATAGTGGAGTAGAACGGAACGAGTACAGTGTGCGATGAGGGAAATTTTGCCTGGGCAGCGGCGCTACGGCCTACTCTTGTATCGAATTCCAACTGCCAAGGGATCTTTTACGTGCACGCCAATGTGTACACGGGACCTCGGTTTTTCGTCTCATCCGAATGACTAGACAGCTGTCCTTGTCAGGCCCTCCATCCTGCATCACTGACAAGGAGAAACCACACCGGAAAATCAGAATGGACTTTCTCGGCCAATGCAGGGAACGAACACCCGACCTCCAGGCTAGCGAACCAGTGTCTTACCCACTTAGCCACGTGATTCCCCCCTGTGAGTTGGCATGACATGTATTATAATACAGTTTTTTCCATAAGAATAACACGCTAATGGGATTTACGGTAAATATTAATATTATTTCACGGTTACTGAACTTCGTTCCAATTGAAGGGTCACGGTGGCCAAGTGGGTGAGACGCTGGCTTGCTAGCCTGGATGTCGGGAGTTCGATAATCCTGTCTATATAATATCTGAAATTGGTGACATGCGATTGTCACGATTATCAAATCAAATGGAATCACACAAATGAACATGAAAAATATCGTTTGGAATTACTTATAGTAATATATATTGTTTTTGATTTTTGATTTCTACTTCATTTATCGATGCTTGAGAAGTTCTTTTTACGCTATTTGAGTAATTGTATTAAAGACAGGGGCCACTCAGATGGTCCTCCGTCTACTTCAAGAATACTGATATTGAAAATTGGCGTGAAATTGTCAAGGCGGGCGTGATAATCTAGCCTCCCCTTGGCGTTTATTCGATTATCACGATGGGTTTAATTGATTGGACCAACACTCCAATAGTCTCTTCATCAAATGTCAAGTGACAACGTAAAACATACCCAGATTCTTGACTTTTTGGGTGGCACAAAATAAGAAACAATAATCAATAACTGGTGAATGTGGAAAACCATAATTCTAATAGAGTAATATCAACAGGTCTGCCTTTAACAGAAGTATATCTATATCTATGTATAACCCTAACCCTAACCCTACGTACATACATACGGCCTACAGAATATTAATATTAATCAGAGTATATAATAGGACAAAAATTGATCACAATTTGCTGGACCCAGGCCCCAATGATTACTCCAACCAAATATACCTGTTACCTTCTGTCTATCGCAGGAAGGAGGGTTGGATGGCCGAATGGTTAGCAAGTGCGCGCTGTATTATAACGTCTGTCATTGAGTCAACTGGCGGGGTTTCGATTGCCCGGTTGTACGTGACAAGGAGTAGGGTGGCCTGTCCAACCTCGTGGATTTTCTCCGAGTCCTCCGGTTTCCTCCCACTGCTAAAGACCCCTAAATAAAATTATTAAACCATGTTAGTCCCGAATGACCTACTTTGTGTCGCGTGAACGTTAAAGGCATCTCTCTCTCTCTCTAAACAGGAGTAGGTCAACGCCGTAGCAGTAGGCCAACGTCGCCAGGCCTATGTTGCTCCCCCATCCGAGCCAACACTATACACCAAATTTCCGTCCCGGGAAGCCTTAGTGTAGCCAGCAATCCTAACAAGACAAACAAACAAACAGATGAAAAAAGACACAACTATTTGTATACATGTAGATTACCACTGTATACCACGAAGATTGACCCAAAATAAATAGATAGTGGATATCGATTAAGTGCATGTCCTTTTTGTAAAGCAACTGTATATGTTATGTAACCTGTGTATGTTCGAGTTAAATGTTTATATACATGCTTTTTTATTTTATTTTATATCTGTGACACTTGTTTCTATTATGTATAGATATATTTTTGTCGATATTGTTTAATTTGTCTCCAATAAATCTCCATGGGTTTGGCGCCATATTCATTCATTCATTCGCCATATTCATTCATTCCCTGTCAGTAAACCGTCCAGAACAATCAAACTGCTTAGCTATATTTAGCCCGAACAGATCATGATCGAACTAAGCCACGGTTTTAATCAAGCAGTTATTCCAGATTTGACAACGCACTTGTATCATGCGCAGAATAACTCACAAAATAAACCCATTCGCGCAGCCAATAGAAGGTTGTTAATACTGCGTTAAAGATTGCAAAGTACACTTTTGATTCTAGTATCATTAAATTGATTTAAAAGCATTGAAGATAAGTTTATCAGAATATTTCAATTCTATTTCCCATATTAAAACAAGCGTGTGTCTGATCGGCAACTAAAGGTCGAAGTAATCCAGTTAATAATGTCCATTCTTTATTTAATGGTTTTCGCGGTACATGTATATTCAGGTATGTTTGAAGTTTCTAGTCAATGTACCAGCATATTTCAGATGATTCCGTTTAAAAACCGTCTTGTGAGTAATTATTTAAGTCAGCATCTGAATCTATCAGTTCAAGATTGTGGAGGACAATGTGCCAGAACGTCAAATTGTGACTCCTTTTCTTATCAACCCAAGACGAACCCCGGGGAATGTTATTTGTATCGGAAGAGAGTTTGGGCAGGACAGACACCTGCGGTTTATAGAGAAGGCTTGGTGACATATTGGCGATTAGCAGGTAACTCTTTTTATTACACGTTGGCTTTCTTAGTCCGGTAGCAGGTCGACAAACCTGGAAATATAGCGCACCTTCATACCGAGGTCTGAGGGAATTTGTCCCGAATTTTACCCCACCAAATTAAAGTAAATAACCGGAAAATGCCTCCTGACGGCCATCTTGAATATTTTAATTCCCCGAAGGATCCCAAGGGTGGCATCATCCGGATTCTGAAACTAGACATATTGAAGATATATAATACACCGAAAACCTATATTTCAATATATTACACATCTTTGTAGGGGCCTTTATATGTTTCCTGCCAATATAAGCCACCATTTTGAAGTTGGCCCACTAGCAGAATTAGCTGTCACATTTAGGAAGAATACGCAAGCTCATTGGATTCAGCGGGTCTAATTATTATAGTAACCATCTTCAAACCGAAGTCCGCGAGAATCTGTCACATTTTTTACCCTACTAAATAACTAGTAAATGCTTCATGGTGGCGATCTTGAATATTTAAATTTCCCCAAGGGTGCCAGGGTGGCATCATCCGGATTCTGGATCTACACATATTGAAGATATATAAACCACCAAAAAACATTAAGAGGACTATATTTCCACAAAATGGGGTTTGGCAACTGGACTATCTCAAGTGTCGGACGTCTGCCGTTCACATTTGTTTATGGACATTCTACAGGTCACAAGTGTTATTTAATTGTTGTATCTCCAACTTCCCGGATTAAGGCCACTGGTTGTACGAACATCGCGTACATAGCTAGTGGACCCGGTGGAGGTCCCAAATTTTATTCGATTCGATTCGATATGTCAGCCATTCCATGATTTAGAGAGTTGATTTTGAGCTTGGCATGTGAATAAATGAAATAAGATGGGGTTTAATCTCCTACTGTTCTGCACCTATTGTCTAATAATAATTTATATAACATTTGAATCCAGAAAAGTGACATACAATAGGCAGATTTAAGCCGTGAGGTGAGAAATGTGATATTTTCCAAAAAATAAAAATCACGTACAGTTGCTTGAATCAGATCACATATAAAAAGCTTCATTAATATTTCAAATAGCTGTTCTTCAAACTATATTATTTTTTATCCTGAATACAGGATATCATGTTTCCATGTCGAGTTAATACTTCAGAATGATAGCTGCCATATGATACACAATAGCATGTTTCAACATCTACATTAATATTTCAGATCGCTGCCCATCAGAATACATTTTGAATACAACTTACAATATATGTTTCAAGGCCTATATTAATATAGGAGACGAGACGTCTTGGTCCCGAGCTATGACACGATGTGAGGATGATGGCGGATATCTGTTTATTGGTCATTCTATGAACAGATTACAAATGGTGGCTGATTTTGTCAAGACTTTGAAAGGTGTTATATTTCAATTTAAATGACCAGATATCTTTGAGAACTAACTTGTTCTATGTTCAACTGTCGACTCGGGAAGCCACAAATTTAACTGAATTCATTAAACTATCCGACTCCACTTTAACTTTTGAAGATCAAATTGTAATCGTGTTGGTTGTGGCATGTTTGTATCAGATTGATGCCTACTTTCATGTCTTTTACTCCCATTGATAAAGACGAAAATACTATTATAAAATTGTAGATACCGATATGGAATAATACATTTTAATAAGTTTTTCCCGCCCATATGTACGTTTGAAAAGGTCGACAATTTATGTAGGTCATATTTGGCTCGGGTGAGGATTGGGGTGAGAGTTGGGGTGTGTCCATTGATCTCGACTGTACCGTAATGTTTCCACATGTACTTATTGACCAATTTCATTTTTGTAACTAGAATTGAATATTGTTTATATCTAATATTTTATACCTTTTATTGGGGTGGGGGAGGCGTAGTATGGTCGCCGCGTCTATCATACATTGTGGGTTGTCTCCGGACACTCTAGCTTCCTCTAGCCTGAAATAAGTATATACCAGTTTGACTTGGGTGGACGTTAAAAGAGAGAGAGAGAGAGAGAGAAATGGGGTTTAACGTCCACTCGACACAAACTAGGTCATTTCGGGACTAACACATGGTCCAATTTTATTTCAATAATTCGCTTGCGCGTAGGGGTCTTTAGCAGTGGGAGGAAACCGGAGGACCCGGAGAAAACCCACGAGTTGGACTGGCGACCCTACTCCTTGCCACGAACAACCGGGGATTCGAAACCACGCCAGTTGACTCAATGACAGACTTTATGGTACAGCGCGCACGTGCTAACCATTCAGCCACCCCCCTCCACCCCCGGGTGGACGTTAAACGATATTTCTCTCAATGTCTTTGTGTTATTTTTTTTTATTACAGTGTACAGTCGCTTGACATATTTTGGTGGTACTGATATATATGTAGAAGGAAATTGGGAATGGATCGATGGCTCTACTACATTTAATTGGGCTCTGCCTCAACCTGACGTCTACGACGGAGAGGATTGTGGTGCTGTAGAAACGCAGAATCCAGTGGGCGGGATGCATGATTTATATTGTCAGCGGGTCCACGGTTTCCTGTGTGAGATTCCCATATAGATGGGACAGGTTTAGTGCCTGGGCCTATAAAAATAGCATAGAGCTATGTTAAAAATAATAATAATAATAACAGTAATCACTTCATTTCAAAAGGGCAAAAAATTAGACCTGCGACTTTTCTTACGTTAGATGAAAACATCGTTTTAGTCTCGTACAGAACATAGAGTAACGATGCGTGATTTGCATTTGATCCACGCCAATATGTACTCAGATTATTCAACATTATGTGGTTCTTTTTTTAAATTAAAGGACAATATTGGTGTCAATCATTATCACATATGTGATAGAACTGGTTAAACCCGTTCAAAATATAATTTTAACACAGAGATCATTGCTACGATAGATTATGAGGATTTCAAGGGAAGGAAAACACGAGTTATCTTTCTATATAACTAATTGAAGTGTGATAATAGATACACGGGTGAATTTCTTCTCACTAATAATTTCTTCGAAAACCAAAGGTTGTTGTGTCAAACTGTAAAAGAATATCAAATAATTCAAATAAGAAATTGACTGTCACTAGGTAAGAGAAAACGAAAACAAATTTGAAAAATCCGTGCATTACCATGTTTTTATTAAGTATAGAATGAATAAAAACAAGGAAATGTACGGACTATTTCTATTTTTCTCGTGTTCTCTTACGTAGTGACATTCAATTACTTTTTTTAAAATGTCAGATATCCTCTCACACTCTCACATAACAACTTATCTGTATCTGTTATCACCCGTCCCTTCAGTCAGTTATATAGAAGGATAACTCGTGTTTTCCTTTTTGCGTTCGTCACTTCCGTTTGTTGAACCCTTCATCGCTCATCTATCGTAGAAGTGTGATAATAGATACACGGGTGAATTTCATCTCAGTAATAATTTCTTCGAAAACCAAAGGTTGTTGTGTCAGACTGTAAAAGAATATCAAATAATTCAAATAAGAAATTGACTGTCACTAGGTAAGAGAAAACGAAAACAAATTTGAAAAATCCGTGCATTACCATGTTTTTATTAAGTATAGAATGAATAAAAACAAGGAAATGTACGGACTATTTCTATTTTTCTCGTGTTCTCTTACGTAGTGACATTCAATTACTTTTTTTAAAATGTCAGATATCCTCTCACAGTCTCACATAACAACTTATCTGTATCTGTTATCACCCGTCCCTTCAGTCAGTTATATAGAAGGATAACTCGTGTTTTCCTTTTTGCGTTCGTCACTTCCGTTTGTTGAACCTTCATTGCTCATCTATCGTAGCAATGATCTCTGTGATAAAATAATATTTGGAACGTTTTGAACCAGTTCTATCACATACGTGATAATGACTGACACCAATATTGTCCTTTAAAGGTTCCCGATAGACATGATTAAATTGTTGATTTAACTAGGTGACTGTGTCATTTAGTTAGGCTTAAGCATCACTTTAAATACCGATACATCGTTAGCTGGTGGATATATGATGATATTTCAAACCTCAGTAATTGTTCGATGAGAATTGCTATAAGAGCGTACTAAGTTATTCAGTTTAATTACAATGCAATTGAGACTTCAAATAAAATTGTTATACATACCATTTTGTGTCTTTAGTAAAATATGTTTAAACGAATTAGGCAGTAGGCCTATTTACTTTCTGTGTTTTTTTTAGATTAAAATCTATCTTGGAAGGAGAAGAGATCTTGTAGAATTTGAAATGTTTCTTTCAAACCATGTCTTGTTAAGAGGTTTCTTTATGGTTTCGAAAATGATTAGGACTCTTATGGCTCGCAAGTTTGTGATATACTGAAGTCATTCGATGTCATTCATCATGTTTCTAAACCTATTCACCGTCAAGGACACATCCTTGATTTGGTTATAAGCAGAGGCGGTGATGCCCTCATTGACTCAGTAACGGTTAAGGAGGACATACTCTCTGACCATCGCCCAATAACCGGTTTACACACTGCAAAAATCCACACTACTACATCTGATAACAACTTAAATTCTGTCTAGTCGCTCGGATGGGACGAAAACCAGAGGCCCTGTGTACACATTTGCGTGCACGTAAAAGATCCCTTGACGTGTAAGCATATACAGATATAGTAAATCTTCTACCAGTAATCTTGACGTACCTATACTTTTTATCTAAAAAAAAGGGCGGGGTTAAATTTCCCTTCAGACATCATTCAGGGCTTCTAGGAGAGACATTATGGTGGTGCTAGAGCGACGTGTAGCCTCCTGGGCATAGCGGCCGGGATTCAGACAGCATGCGTTCATCTTCGAAGCACGTTCTCTCAGCCTCTGGTTCGGGGCTGAGATAGAGACAACATCTAGTGTTTCATTGGGATAGATATAACATGTAGTGTTTCAGCCATTAGGTCTGAGTTCTAGGCTTGTTAAACTCAGACTCTAGATATTATAATTATTCCTAATGTACTATCATAGATGTTGCAATTTCCTGTATTTCATATATAAACATAGTAATACACCGTGTTCCGGAGTTAATTCATAATTGATCACAGTGTTACATCACTCCTTCCATTATTCACAAAAATTGCGAACATCTTAATTTCCTCCAGTATTCCCCCTTGTATTCTAAAGTTTGCGCTAGTATCCCCACTACAAAAGCCAATCTAAATCCGGAGTTATTAAAAAAACTATAGGTCAGTTTTTAACCTCCCGTTTACTGGGAAAGTTATTGAAAAGGTAGTTGCCCAAATCAATATGGTCTACATGATCCACTATAATCCGCTTACAAGGCCGGACACAGTACAGAGGGTACATTGAAAAAAAAATAAAGAATGATATTGACTTGGCATTAGGCAGAAGCCAGGCTGTTCACGTGACTCATCCATTTAGATCTGAGAACCGCCTTTGGCACCTTAGGTGATGAGATCTTGCCCAAAGCGCTGAGAAACTTTTATTGGGGTAGGTGGTGATGCATTGCAATGGATCAAATCTTTCCTTCGGAATAGATCACAGAAAATTCAATGTAACAGATCAGTTTGCAAACCCAAATCATTAACAATTGGCGTTCCTCAAGGGTCTATGTTAGATTTCTTGCTATTTCTCATCTATATCTTGTCATTCGGTCAGCTATAAAGAAAACACAGATTCGCTGATGACACTCAGATATACGAATGTTTTTGCTCTTGGGTACCATGATTCTTTGACATTATCCCCAAGGAAGCTAGAAAATTGTCTCGTAGACATTCGTAAATGGATGATGAACAACAAACTAAAACTAAACGATGATAAATCTGAATTTCTGGTCATATCAACTAAAGCGCGAGAAGGAAATTTAATGTTTTCTATACCGCAAATAAACAACATCATAAGCCACATGCATTTCCAAACGAGGTCTGTCTCTATAATTACGAACTATCTAAGCCCGAGTGCTCGCAAAACTGTTATGGACGCCTTGGTCATTCCGCACTTAGACTATGCCTATTCACGTTTATCTGGAGCACCAGAAGCAGCCTATGATAGACTTCAAATCGATCAAAATAACGCCGCCCGACTTGTCACGGGAACCTCAAAATATGATCACATCTCACTGCACCTGAAGCAGCTACACTGGCTAACGGTAAGAGCCAGGATAAAATTTAGAGTTCTTGTCAACTCCTATAAATAAGTAATAACCACAACTGCTCGTAATTACATGGTTGAAATGTTTAATGTTCACATCACTGGTAGGACTATTTTTCGGTCGGGACGTGACAAAATCCTACTAGCTGTTCCCCGCTTTCGGCCTCATGTGGGCGAGTTTTCATTTCCCCGTAAGATGTGCCAAACTTTGGAATGAATTACCGAGACACCAGTAAGTGTGTGCCCAACTATCTCAATTTAAATCTAAAGACTCATCTGTTTAGAGAATCATATAAATAGAATGATGCGTGTACCATTTTGTAAATATGCCTGTATATCGCTTAAAAATAACTATTGTTATAATGGAGCGAAGAAAGGGTGATTTGCAATCATGAAGTAGGTCTTCTGGGTTGTGATATTGGTGACGTCAGTCTTTGTCTGGTTTATTTGTAGCTGGCGTTAAATGGTTCCTCTCTTATTTTTTTATATCACAAATTTAATTTGTTCAAAGTAGATTTGTCCCTTCTCACCAATGAGGTTATTGACTTACTCAAGTGATAAGAAACTGTCGAGGAAACCAGGTGCATTAGATAGATGCCAGGTTGATAGTCCACAGCATGTAGTCAATTGGTAATTCACAGCAACATCTAACGGTAGTTGGATATTACACAGTATCACTAGAGATACTGTAAGGCTGATATATGGAGATTTAGCATCCGTTTCCACTGAGGTGATATCACAGATCCACTCTTGTCGTGTAATTGTCTTTAGGTTTTTATACCAATTGCCTATGTATTATCATGGTAGATATTTCCGGAGCTTTCCCCAAGTCAGACGATGCCCAATATCTCCTCGTGGGGCTATTAATAATACGGTTATAAGTTACATGGCTGAAACTTAACAGAAACAAAGATCAATACTTTGACAATTTTCAAAGATCTAACCAAAAATTCTGGGCCTTTCCTCAGGTCAGATCAGTCTAAAGTCTGTCCGATAACGGCCTAAAAATAGGGCTACTGGTGAGGTCATAAGTTACATGGTTGAAAATTTCCAGAAACAAAGATCCCTACTTGGAAAATATACTTTTAAAAAATCTATCCATATCTATTCAACAATAATTCAGACTGGTATTCAATATCTTATCTTGAATATATGAAAACTATTCACTTACATGGTCTTAATACAATATAATTATAATAAAACTTTAGTTATCATTCCGTTCCAGTACTAAATTATTTTTGTCCACATAACCCTCAAAGTAATCGAACTGGAGATAACGAATTATAGATGTATTGTTTGCCAAACTTAACCAATTATTTTTTTTTTCTTAAACCAGTCAAACTATGCTCGATGATTCATTCGGT